AGAAAAAGCAAGCTACTAGATCCAGGACTTGAACCATGATTGGTCATGTGGGAATGCCAGCACCTTAACCACCACTCCACCTGCTGGCCCCTACATAAATAATTTAAAAAAATTTTTTTTACAAAGTAAGATTTTCATTCTAAAAGAAAATTTAAACTATTACCATTAACGACAGTACTTTCCAATTTTTATGGTATAACACACTGGTAACTTTAACTTGAATATGATTTCTATTTTTCCTAGTTAAAAACAAATTTATTGGTACCAGCAGATGGCATAATGGTTAGTTATGTTGCTGGACTCCCATGTAGTCAATCACAGTTCAAGTCCTTGACCTGGTGCTTAAAACTCACGCTGGCCATGTGTGTGTGCGAGCCCAAAATCCTGAGAGGAGGATGGAGGTGAAGGGATTGCAGCCTGGCCATCACCCCCGGGGGTGATTTCTCACCTTCTGTTTCTCTGTCTTTCTAGTGAGTACACGCACTGCCCCATAGCAAAAATCTCTCCCCCCCAAAAAAGAAATTTATTTCTTTTATACTCTTCTACCTACTTCAACAAAACTGAATGATGATGTTTTTTTCCCCCTTTATGAGTAAGAAAGTGACAAGGATGGGTATTTTTGACAGGTTCTGGCTGTGTCATATCCTCTTTCCCCAGGCTCCCCATTAGCTTCAATTACAGGGGTGGGCAACTGTGGCCAGCATGATCAGGTTGGTCTGGGAGCCAAACCCAGTCTTCCCAAGTGGCTTCCAGTTTTCAAAGAGGTAGTACTATTTGTGTGTCACCACTGCAAGACCTGAATTAAGAGTTTTTTTTTTTAATGATTATTTATTTAATTCCATTTGCTATTATTATTTTTTCACTTTCACCAGAGAGAGACACAGAAAGATAGGGAAAGCAAGAACGCAAACCACCAGGTCCAGGACTCAAACCATGGTCAGCCATGTGGGAATCCAGCGCCTCTAACCACCACACCACCCGCTGGCCCCTGAATAAGAACTTTTAAGTCAACAACTATCTATGTCCCAAACAGTCTGTTGGTGGATGTGAAACTTTTTGTTTGTTTTTAAGAGTTTTTTGCCTTAGGGTGCATGCTCTCACTAGAGACAGAGACAGTAAGAGGGAAAGTAAGTAATCTCCCCCCCCCAGGGGGCTGGCCATGCCGCAATCCCTTCTCCTCCATTCTCCTCCTGAGTTCTTGGGCAAACACGCACACACACCCAGTGTGATTGTCAGGACACTGGGTCTGGGACTCCAACCACAGTCAGTCATATGGGAGCCCAGCAACACAACTGCTAAGCTATCTGCTGGTTCTAGTGGACATTAATCTTAAAACTCAAGCATTTCTTCCCCAAAACAGAAAATTGTGAGTAATTTGGTTATTTCACTTAATTCAGTGATTGAGGACTTAAATTAATCTAACTGCTTTGTCAGAAAAATCTTTTTCAAAAGAATAATTTATTTATTATTATTACTCAATCTGACCAGAGAGAGAGGGAGAGTGAGAAGATAAGTTGCCAAGTCCAAGACTTGAACCACGGTTCGTCATGTAGGAGTCTATCACCTTAACCACCATGCCAACGTGCTGGCCCCCAGAAAAATCTCTTTAAGAAAACCAGGAAAGAAAGCATTTGTATACAATGGATCGATCGCTGCATAAACTTACCTTAATCATGGTAGAAATTGGATGTCCCCGCCGAAGATTCTTCATTATACTCTCTGCCAAGTCTGCTACAGATAGGCCAATGGCCCAGGATGTGTAGCCTTTCAGCTTGATCACCTCGTAAGCACTGGAGGGGAGGGCAGGATAAGGAAGGGCCAGAAAGGAGAGGAAAGGGAAGAGGGGGAGGAATAACAACAACAAAAAACACAAAGCTCTTGTGAGCACATGCTTTATAGTAAATAATGCTATAAAGTTCTATTAAATACTCAAGTAACCTTTGCACATACATACCAGGAAATTACATATAGTAATGCTCACAAAATAATAGCAAACAAAACAAAACAAAACAAAAAAGGAATAGCAAAATCATGGCAGTGTAGTCAATGGCCTTCAGCTGGAGAGTGGGTAAACTGTGGGACAGTGATACAGTGGAGCATCACACAGCTGTCTATGACCGGTAGACACCTGCACCAAAAATGGGATGATTCTTAGAAATGTAATACTGGGGAGTCGGCAGGTGGCGCTGGACCCTGTGTAGCTGACTGCATGGGTCAAATTCTATACCCTACAGCAAATTAAAAAAAAAAAAAAAAAGGCAAGAATTTAGCATGCACAAAGGTCTATGATTTTTTTAATATTTTTTACCTGTTTTATAGTGTATGTGAACAGTCGGGTGTGTGTGCATGTGTGCCCAAAATCCCAAGAAAAAAATATAAGAAAAGGGATTGTGGTGTGGCCATCCCTAAAGTGAAAACTTAAAAAAAGAAAGAAAGAAAAAATAACAGCCAAACCATTTTCCAAAGTGGCTGAACCATTTATTGGGTTGTCAGAAAGTTGTAATATATTTTTTCTGTTTTTCAATGCAAAAACATTAAATGACTTTTCTGACAACCCAATACATGTACATAACAATGTACAAATTCTTTTTTTTTTTTTTTTGGAGAGGTTTTTGCTATAAGGCATGCATGCTCACCAGAAAGACAGAGAGACACCCCCCCCACACACAGGGGGGATGGCCACACCATAATCCCTTCTCTATTCTCCTTTCAGGATCATGGGCACGCACACACGTGCCAGGCCTGAGTTTAAGTGACTGGGTCTGGGACTCGAACCTCAGTCGACAACATGGGAGTCCAGCGACATAGCCATTACACCATCTGCTGGTCCCAAATGTATGAATTTTTCTATCTCCATGCCAACATTTGGTGCTGTCAGTCTTTTCTATTTTAGCCACTCTTTTCTTTTGAATTGTTTGATCTTTAACAAAGGCTAAGAAAACATGTTTTCTCTGTAACAAAAAGTACTCAAATGCTATGGAAAACTTTCATCTTTTTCCTCCCTCTCAGTTTTGAATAGACTTTATTATTTATTTATTTATATATATATTTTTAAAAGTTCCTTGAATGAATACATTGTATAGTCAAAGATTTTGATCTTTTAGATAAAAATGATAAATTTGAATCTACCATGTTGCCAAGTTTCGAGGTCTATTACCTGTCCACCACCTGTTTATGAACCTGCTTCCACTGCTCCTTGTCCGCATCCGTACCAAGATCTGGGTGCAGATTCTTCAGGGAGACCCCAGCCACGTTCACGCCGCTCCACACAGGGACTGAAAGAAAGGGTGAGGCATACTCTCATTCCATGCACCACAGACTAGTCATTATGGCCCATTTCCCTCCTGTTCTTTCTTATCTGTGGAGGAGACTTACTCCCTTCTGGTAGATGACAAAGACCACCAATATCCTTATTTATTCTTTTTTTTTTTTTTTTTTTTTTTTTTTTTTTAGATTTTTTTGCTATAGGGTGTGTGCAGCTGCCAGAGAGACAGCAAAAAAGTGAGTGAGAAATCATCCCCCCAGGGGGAATGGCCACGCCACAATCCTTTCTCCTCTTCTCCTCTCTGGACTTTGGGTTCACAACCACATGTGCCAGTGTGAGCTTCAAGCCACTGGGGTCCAGGACCTGAACCACGGTCAGTCATGTGGGAGTCCAGATCTTCACAATACCACTTGCTGGCCTCTCCTTAACTTTTTGATTAGATTTTTATTTACTTAGATTATATAAAACTAAAAATGTTCCACTATGTTCTGACCAGTTTTCCTATCTATTAGCATATTTAATCCATATAGATTTGAAATACAAAGATAACATCAGAACGTAAGGAATTTTCTTGGCATAAGGAATTCCGAGAACCCTATACAATTTTAACACCTTTCCAAGTTCTGGAAATAGATTTCATGCGCTCCATTTTGGACTGGCTAACCTTTTCGGAGCCAGGTAGTTTAAACCAAGAATTGAAGAGCTGTGGGAGTAAATGCTTGTGGTCATCCTAACCATGACAGTCTTAGCATGTCCAGGGTAGAAAGTAAAGAAATGTCACTCTTCATCCCTTTGTCATACAAAATGGCTAACATCTTAGTAATTCTTAGCATGTACTTTCAGGACACTATTCTATTCTGATGAATACACATAGGATTAAGACTAATTACTTTTTCATTTACTTAGGTTCTAAGGGAATAATGAAATGTCCACCAATTTTTTTTTTTTGGAGAGGTTTTTGCTATAGGGCGCGTGCGCTCGCCAGACAGAGACAAAGAGATAGAAAGCGAGAAGTCACCCCCCAGGGGGCATGGCCACGCTGCAATCCCTTCTCCTCCATTCTCCTCTTGGGTCCTTGGGCACGCACGCACACGCGCCAGCGTGAGTTCAAGCCACCGGGTCCGGGACTCGAACCGTGGTTGACTACGTGGGAATCCAGCGACATAGCCATAATGCTAACTGCTGGTCCCAACCACCAATTTTTGAACAATCTTATTGAAAACAAAAAGTAACTTATGCTTACCACTAGAGTCTCCGTGTTCCCCCAGGACCCACCCATGACAACTTAATGGGTGAACTCCCAGCCTTTCTCCCATCAGGTAACGGAACCGGGCTGAATCCAGATTACAACCACTTCCAATAACACGGTTTTTGGGAAAGCCACTTATCTTCCAAGCTACATAGGTCAAGATATCCACTATGAAGAAAAAACATTTAAGCAAAGACATTAGCAAATCATTAGATTATTACTGGCTGCTCAAGACATGGATCTGCATGGATTTTGATATTGATCAGGATGATCAGGACTAATCAATATTTTTGTTTAATTTGTTAGAAGGTACATATGCTCACTAGAGGGAAAGAAGGAGAGAACAGGAGAAAGCAGCCCCCATAGAGCGTGATCACACCTCAATCCCTTCTCTATTTCTTCATCCTTTTGAAATTTTGGGCACACACACGTGTGTGCACCTGACGTGTTTCTCCAGCCACCAGGTCTGGTACTTGAACTGTGCAGTTGGGCATGTGTGATCCTGCCACCGTATCCACCCCACAACTCCTGACTCTTTTTGTTAATGTTTTTAAACCTCTATATTATGTATATTACATCCACTAAGTACTCAAGTATATCTGCATGAGAATAAACTGTATCATTTGACAGAGTAACAATTATTCATAAATGTATCACTTATCCAAGACCTTGGGCAAGTAATTAAACTCCAACTGTGTCCAAGGCATAGTATAAACTCTTTAATGTTTTTAAAAGAACTGTTTTTACAAAAAAACAAAACAAAACAAAAAAAACACTCAGGAAGAAAATGAAACATGGAAAATTAAGTGGATCAATAAATGTATACAGGATATAACATAGGCTATCAGTTTTACTAAGTCTGTCGATTTTATGCACTTAAATGTTTTACCTGGATTGGAAACAACAAGCAACTTGCAGTTCGGGCTGTATTTGACAACATTAGGAATGATGAACTTGAAGATGTTGACATTGCGCTGGACCAGGTTAAGACGGCTTTCTCCCTCTTGTTGACGAGCCCCAGCTGTGATAATGACCAGCTTAGAGTTCGCAGTCACATTATAGTCTAGAGAAAAGGAAAACAATGACATGTTTAAGACCATTAAAGGAATTCTTTTTTTTTTTTAAAAGAATTACTTAATTTATTATTTTATTATGTTTTAATTTGACCAGAGACAGAGAGAGGGAAAATCAGAAAATAAGCCACCATACCCAAGACTTGAACCGTGGTCAGCCATGTGTGAGTCCAGTGCCTTAATCACCACACCACCTGCTGGTAGCCCTCTAAGGAAACTCTTACCTAGCCAGCAGAAATTTGTTCCATAAAATTTCTTATGAACAGCTTTATCAGAGAATTGTGTATGTGGCAGATAAATGCCAGCTCCGGATCACAAGCACACAGGTCTGCTACACTCAGGCCTCTGGATGTGAATCCAGCACCTTCTCATGTGGTCAGCCTTGCAGAGTATTGCATTTTACCACTGTACCCAAGGTAGCCCTCTACTTAACTATCAATACTTGTTGTAATATCAGCCCAGGGACAAGCAAATTTCTTTATTTTATCATGAAGCAGATGTCTCTCTTTTTTTTAAGAATTATTTTATTGAACTTAAATTAATTAATTAATTTTAATTTGACCAGAGAGGGATAGAGTGAGAGAGTGAGCAAGAAAGACAGAGAGAAATTGAGAAACCAAGCTGCCAGGTCCAGGACTCAAATTGCAGTGGGCCATGTGGGAATCCAGTGCCCTTAATCGCCACGCCACCTCCTGGCCCCATGAGGCAGAGATGTCTTTATATATTTTTTTTATAATTATTTATTTTGTTTATCATTATTATTATTTCACATGAGTTTTTGCCAGAGAAAGACAGGCAGAGAGAGAGAGAGAGAGGGTGAGGGAGCAAGCTACCAGGTCCAGGATTCGAACCGTGGTCAGCCATGTGGGAATTCCAGCGCCTTAACCACCATGCCACCTGCTGGCCCCAAGATGTCTTTACATTTAACATGAAGCATATTTTGCTTCTAGATACCCTGTGGCACAAGATAATTTACCCAGGGATAAAAATGGAGTCACCGGGACCGGCAGGTGGTGTGGTAGTTAAGGGCACTGGACTCCCACATGGCCAACCAAGGTTCAAGTCCCTGACCTGGAAGCTTGCTTTCTCACTTTCCCTCTCTCTCTTTCATACACACCCTGTCCCTCTCTTGTCAAATTAAAATAAATAAATAAAGTTAAATAAAAATTTTTTTTTAAAAAAAGGAGTAACCAGTCAGGTGAGCTGCCAGTGATTTTCAAATACTAAAACAGATACTGTTTAGGTCCATGTCCAGATTTCCTACAGGAGCTAATGAGTGAGAAACAGTCCAACCAAGAAGATCTGCTGAACAGGCTCATTTACCCCATTTTCAAACTCAACTCAGTTTGTGAAAAGAAGTGAGGGAGGGACCTGCAGGTGGTGTGGTTGTTAAGGCACTGGACACTCCCACATGCCAACCACAGTTCAAGTCCTGGATCTGGTGGCTTGCTTTCCCACTTTCCCTCTTCAATCTCTCTTTCTCTCTCTGGTTAAATTAAAATAAATGAATAAATAAAATTGAATAAATTCTTAGAAAAAAAAAGAAAAGAAGTGAGGGAAGTAGATTAAAGCATTGGAAACAATGTGGTCAATACGGACTTAGGTCTGGAAGTTCACTCATTGCATTCTAATTCAGATGGTTCCCACACTGTGCACATATTGGAGTTCCATTTAAAATTATTTACTAGAGGGAACCAGTCGGTGGCGTGGTGGTTAAGGTGCTGGACACTCCCATACAGCTGAACACAGTTCAAGTCCCAGACCTGGTAGCTTGCTTTCTCACTTTCCCTTTCTCTCTCTCTGGTCAAATTAAAAATAAATGAATGAATAAATAAAGTTAAATAAATAACACTTTAAAAAAAAATTCACTAGAGATTGAAACTTTGATATCCATAGGTACCAATGCACAAGTGCCCCAAAGCGCTCCTCTCCTGTATAATGAAAATCCTTGATGAGCCAGGATTTCAAGGCTGATAAAGAATGCAAGTCTAGCATGGACTTTGATATGAACTCGTTGAAATTAACCTTTGCCAGAGACGATTTTTGGTGTCCTGAGGAAAAGGCTGCCATGTTGGAGATCCATCATCTCTCCCTTCAATTTGTCTTCCATGACATCAACAAGAGCAAGTTCATCTGCCAAGTCCTAAAAGACATAAAAGTTTTAGTTAAATGGGAAATTGCTACTTCCGATTACATTTCCAGAAGGCCACACATGTTTCTATATTCATGGTGTAGGAAGAGGTCTGCTACTTTGTCAGTATCAGAATATCCTTCAAAATGGAGGCAGGCCCGCATTTAAAAGCTGGGTCAGATGACCCGTCCGTGCACTGCCCTTCTCCAGTCCTATCCTGTCGCTGAAGCAACCTCTGGGTGCAGCACACTGGCAGGCAGTAGCCAGAATAACTTCCAGTTACATAGAAATCATTCCATAAACTCTCTCAAATTCGGTTTTACACACCAGTTGCTAATAATAGGTTGCTATTCTTTTTAGATAATATTGATCAGTATCGAGACTTGCAATTTTAAAAAAGTAATTGGTTACATCACTGGATTCCCATGTAGTTGACCCTGGTTTGAGTCCCGGAACTAGTAGCTTAAAACTCATTCTGAGCACATGTGCATGCATGCCCAAAATCCCGAGAAGAGAGTGGAGGAGAAGGGATTGTGGTGTGGCCATCCCCCCGAAGGGTGATTTTTGGCTTTCTGTCTCTCTCTGTCTCTCCAGTGAGCACACACACCCACCCTATAGCAAAAAAAAAAAAAAAAAAAAAAAAAAAACCTTCTCTCTTTCTCTCTCTGGTTAAATTAAAATAAATGAATAAATAAAATTGAATAAATTCTTAGAAAAAAAAAGAAAAGAAGTGAGGGAAGTAGATTAAAGCATTGGAAACAATGTGGTCAATACGGACTTAGGTCTGGAAGTTCACTCATTGCATTCTAATTCAGATGGTTCCCACACTGTGCACATATTGGAGTTCCATTTAAAATTATTTACTAGAGGGAACCAGTCGGTGGCGTGGTGGTTAAGGTGCTGGACACTCCCATACAGCTGAACACAGTTCAAGTCCCAGACCTGGTAGCTTGCTTTCTCACTTTCCCTTTCTCTCTCTCTGGTCAAATTAAAAATAAATGAATGAATAAATAAAGTTAAATAAATAACACTTTAAAAAAAAATTCACTAGAGATTGAAACTTTGATATCCATAGGTACCAATGCACAAGTGCCCCAAAGCGCTCCTCTCCTGTATAATGAAAATCCTTGATGAGCCAGGATTTCAAGGCTGATAAAGAATGCAAGTCTAGCATGGACTTTGATATGAACTCGTTGAAATTAACCTTTGCCAGAGACGATTTTTGGTGTCCTGAGGAAAAGGCTGCCATGTTGGAGATCCATCATCTCTCCCTTCAATTTGTCTTCCATGACATCAACAAGAGCAAGTTCATCTGCCAAGTCCTAAAAGACATAAAAGTTTTAGTTAAATGGGAAATTGCTACTTCCGATTACATTTCCAGAAGGCCACACATGTTTCTATATTCATGGTGTAGGAAGAGGTCTGCTACTTTGTCAGTATCAGAATATCCTTCAAAATGGAGGCAGGCCCGCATTTAAAAGCTGGGTCAGATGACCCGTCCGTGCACTGCCCTTCTCCAGTCCTATCCTGTCGCTGAAGCAACCTCTGGGTGCAGCACACTGGCAGGCAGTAGCCAGAATAACTTCCAGTTACATAGAAATCATTCCATAAACTCTCAAATTCGGTTTTACACACCAGTTGCTAATAATAGGTTGCTATTCTTTTTAGATAATATTGATCAGTATCGAGACTTGCAATTTTAAAAAAGTAATTGGTTACATCACTGGATTCCCATGTAGTTGACCCTGGTTTGAGTCCCGGAACTAGTAGCTTAAAACTCATTCTGAGCACATGTGCATGCATGCCCAAAATCCCGAGAAGAGAGTGGAGGAGAAGGGATTGTGGTGTGGCCATCCCCCCGAAGGGTGATTTTTGGCTTTCTGTCTCTCTCTGTCTCTCCAGTGAGCACACACACCCACCCTATAGCAAAAAAAAAAAAAAAAAAAAAAACCCCCCCCCAAAAGAAAAAAAAAAAAAAAAAAAAAAACAAAAAACTCTCTCTAAATAATAAATAAATACAATAAATAAAAATATTCTGGACCATTCCATGGTTGTTTTCCATATATAAACAAGTACTAACAGTTTTGCGCAAATGTTGTATGATATTGGCAAAAATATCGCAGCAGTCGAACCTATAAAGTTCATAGATGTATCTCGGCAGGAGCACCAACGATGGCTTTACTATAAATGGGATGTGGTCTCATTACCACAAAGGTTAGACGGGCTGCGGATCTACCTACTCGTCTACGATGTGAGTGAGCTGGCAGGCCCTCTTCTCACCCATGCCGGAGTCAAGAGGCCAAAGAAAAAGACCATAGTGGTTCATGTGCCAGGGGGAAACCACACTGAGTTTAAATCCAGTGGGTAAGGAATAAGAGTTGGTGTATGGGGCCAGCAAGTGGCATAGTGGTTAAGACTCTGGATTCCACATGGTAGACCACAGTTTGAGTCCCAGACCCAACAGCTTAAAAATCACAAGAGAATATGGTGCGGCCATCCCTCCTGGGGTTTTTCTCACTTTCCCTTGCTTTGTCTCTCTCACACAAGTACACATGCCCTATGGCAAAAAAAAAAAGAAAAAAAAAAAGAGAGAGAGAAAAGAAAAAGTTGGTGTATGATGTGGCATCTCCTAACCACACATTCAGAGAAATTGGTGTTGTTACAAGACCCCTGCATAGCTCATTTCTGCCTCTACCCCTTCTCAATTTAATCTATTTCTGTTCAGAAAACAGATCATCATCTCACTCTAATCAGGACCTCCAAATCTGAACTTAAAAGTTTAATACTAGGGTCAGCAGGTGGCATGGTGATTGGGATGCTGGACTCCCACATGGTTGACCACAGTTTGAGTCCCAGATCTAATGGCTTGCTTTCTCACTCCCCTCCACCGCCCTCTGTCTCTCTCTGGTGAGTGCACATGCTCTATAGCAAATTTTACAAATAGTAATAATAATAAATAAAATTAAATAGATAATTCTCTTTTAAAAAGTATTTTAGTATTATAAGCTGCCTCAATTTCTTTCTTTTATTTTTTGAGAGATTTTTGTTATAGGATGTGTGCCCTCACCAGAGACAGAAAGCGAGAAATCATCCCCCAGAGGGTATGGCCACGCCAATCCCTTCTCCTCCAGTTACCTCTCAGGCCCTTTGGCATCTGTACACACACATGTACCTGGTATGAGTTTTAAGCCACTGGGTTCAGGACTTGAACTGCAGTCGACTACATGGGAGTCCAGCACCGTAACCATTATGCCATCTGCTGGTCCCCCTCAATTTCTTTTTTAAAAAAGTTGCCACAGGGTATGGATGCTTGCCTTAGAGGGGTAGTGGGCTGGAGGCGGAACACAGAAAAGCACTTCACATGAGGGATAGTCATGCCACAATCCCTTCTCCTTCCTCTCTCCCTCCTTTCAGAATCCTGGGTACACATGTCTGGTGTTTCTGAAGCTGCTGGGTCTGGGACTACAGAATGAATGGTCTGCCATTTGGGATCCAGCTGCCTTAGCCAGCAGGTCACAGGCTGGCCCAATTTCTTTTTTATATAAACCAGATTTGAACAGTGTAAAAAGTGTTCTTTAGTCCTAAGTACCATTTTCTAATCAAATTTCAGCTCCACAATTGGCAACAAAATTGGCATTCAAGATGGGAAGCAATGAGACCAGCAGGTGGCATGGTGGTTAATGGTGATGGACTCCCACATGGCTGATAGTGGTTCGAGCCCTGGGTAAGGAGGATTGCTTTCTTATTTTCTCTCACTCTCTAGAAATATCAAAATAATAGTAAATAAAGTTAAATAATCCTTTAAAGAAAAAAAAGGATGAGAGGCAATGAAGTTTGGGGAGAAGGCTTTATATATGAATGTGTCATTTTTAACTTAAAAATTATTATAAAAGAGTTTTGGCTCATTTAAAAATGCAGACTCTTCTCTTTTACTGGTAGATAATTCATGCACCCTAACACAGCACAGTACATTTTAGGAACTGGGTCTCCAGACTAAAGGCCTTCGTCGATACTTTTTATTTTGGATACTCTTCCAATGTTTCAAAAGTGTGTTTCACATAAAGTTCTTTGAGTGTGTGAATGTAAATACCTTTATATGCTTGATTTTAGTTAAAAGGCCTGGAAGCAATACGAAACCTTTACATACAATTTGATAATGCACTTTTTCCGGAGTGAGAAGAAAGGGTAGACTCAAGGTATGTACTTCCTGCGTGACACTCACTCACCTTCATTAAGATGCTGATGGCACAGGCCATGCCAACAGCACCAACCCCAACAACCGTAATCTTATTTTGGGGAACCTGTTCTTCCTTAAGAAGATTCACAATCAGCTGATCCTTGAGAGATGCCATGTCGGACTTGGAACCAGTAGGAAGCTGTAGGGGAGAACATTTAGTGTGACTATATCTCTTCAATGTTAATTAACCAAAAGCTATGCTAAACAAGCTTATTTTACTTTCTTTTAAAGTACTTGCCACAATAGTCATGAGATGACTAAAAAGAGAAGAAAAAAAGTTTTGTTTTGTTTTCCCCCTAAAAAAGGAGAGTTGAAAGGCCTAATGCCTGCATCCGATCTGGCCAGGATCTTACTGTGAAGGACCTCACCTTGGCATGAAAAAATAATATCGATGTTCTGGTGTAGGTATAGCCTCCTGAGGTCTCACCCATCTTGGCTTATTAACCCCAAGATAGGCCGGCCCTTTCTCACAGAGGATCACCGAGAGCTAGCCGCCCAGCTCTCCTCCAGCGGCTCAGGCTTTCTAGCAAGTCCACCAGCCAGCCAGCATGCAAGGGCACGAAAATCCACCAACGGCCAGAACCTCTGAGCAGAGCACGCTATGAGCTCTACGCATGCGCGCCCACTTGCTTTTCTTCCACCCCTCGGCCGGTTCAGACCAATTGCTCCAGGTGCAGAAGCCCGCCGGCTGTACGCCCCGCCCACGGACTAAGTGCTGCAGACCCAGGAAACTTGCGCGCATGCGCACTTCAAAGCGCCAGGAAGGAAGCTGGTAGACTCTTGGCTGCTGGCCTTTGAGAAGTGGGCACAGGGTCAGACAGCGGACGCTGGAGTAGCTCCGCCCGTGAGCCGTCAGGCGCTATCCTGCCCGGTGGGTCGGAAGGAGCGTGCCCAGAGTCAGACTTTAGACCCAATGAATGTTCTGAAGCAGACGCGAGCAACGTGGAGCCGGGTGGCAGCCTCTCCCGCCTGGCGCGCGGCCAGATTCGGACTTTTAAATCGCAATACCAGGAACCAGAGGCTGTGAACCAACCCGGAGGGAGGCGCCTCGTAGAGCTTCTGCCTTGAACCTTATTGCTGAGGCCTGAGTCCCGGTATGAGGACATTCTGTCAGTACAGGAAGTGTAGAAATAAGGCCTGAAGCCTGGGGCTCTAAAGTGAATGGATTCTTGGTGAGACCCTCAATTTCCCGAGCCGAGTGGGTAAGGGCCTCTCCATTCTGCTCATCTAACCTCGCACTGCAGTCACTGAGGGAACATCTTGCATTGCATCCCCAAAAGCACGTCTAGTCTAATCATGCTCCAAAGGGCAAACATATCCGAGAGGACCTCCAGGCAGGCTGCCCAGAGTCCAAGCTGGAATCGGGTCTCTCCTTACAAACCCTGCTATTTCTAGACAGCCTTGTAAGGTTTCTGCAGCCCAGCAGGGGGAAGGGAGCGGTTCTGCAGAGACCCGCGGGCTTCGCCAAAACCTCGGCTCTGGGCACCAATGCTCCCTTCAACGTAGGGGCAGGGGTGGGAGGGGATGGGGGGAGGGCGCATCCAGGGGCAAGAACTGCAGGAGGTTCTACTCTTTGCCTCTACTACCCACTCTTTGTGATCTTAGAGTTACCCTAATCCTCTCTGAGCTTCCGGTTTTCCCATTTGTTTAAGAAAGAGATGGACCTGATGATCCCACTCTCAATAGCCTTGAGGTGCGGGAGAGACGGACTCGGTCCGCATACACCAGCAGCTGCTCAGTAAATGTCATCTGCGCAGAGGTCCCTATAATCTAATTAATCTGCAGGCAGCAGCCGCCCCCAAGGAACACAAACAAGCGTGCCAACCGCGCCGCGCTCAGCGGCTTTCAGGAACCCGCCCCGGACATGCTAAGGCTTTTTCCGCTCCATGGGTCCCGGGAGCCAGACGTCAAGTTTTGCGCTGTTCGCCGATTTTTGAGCCCGAAGGCATCCCCCACCCTTTAGTTCTGTCATCTCCTAGTCCTTCCGCATCCACCCAGGCTTTCGAGCTCAGGCTGGGTGCGGCCACCCCGGCGGTTCCCCAGCGCGGCCAGGGCCACGGTTCCCGCTTAGACCAAGTGCAGAGCGCGGCGAGCTCCGAGCCCACGCATGGCATGGCCACCGCCCGGGTCCCCAGCCTGCTGTGGGAAGCAGCATCTACAGTCCGCGGGCGCAGGGAACCCCTCGGCCGGCAGGGCCAGGCCCGCGGAGCCCCGGGCAGCTCGCTCCCCCGCCCCTCCCGCGCAGTGCGCGCGGGGCCCGACCGTACCGAGAGTGCACGTCGAACAGGCGTCGGGGACGCGCAGCAATGGGATCCGGACTCGGCGACCGCGGCTCCAGCACTCGGAGCAGGGCGCGGGAGGGGCCTTAAGTGGAATCGCGAGGCTGACGTCAGGGGGGGAGCCAGGCGGACGTGCGGGAACCCACGTGTGGGTCGGGCCGGGGGCGGGCGCCCAGCGGGGCGGAGCGCTGGAGAGGCCCGGGCGGCGCGCGCAGGCGGACGACAGGCTCGCAGACCGACCCACATGGGCCCGCACTTCTGAGGGGCTGCCCCGGGCTTCGCAGCCCTCCAGCCGCCGAAGCCTGGTCAGGAGCCATGAGCCAGCCACCCTCAGTTTCCTCTTCCGTAAAATGTGGAGGCTACTCTTAGGAAAGCCTCGGTCTGTTTCTTCATCGCCGTTTCCCGGTGCCCAGAACAGCGTGTGACACTAACAGACGCCCGACAGACGCGTTGAATGGAAGAAGGAAAATGCCTGGCACGTCTGTCCTCACCTAAGTCAAGTGACGCTCAGTACCCCTTGCAGCTAACCCTACCGAGTCCCACGGTTCCCAGGGGATCCTCGGCCTCCCAGGCCTTGCAAGGTGACTCAGGTCAGCCTTACGTCCGATGCACTCCCTACGGCTTCTTACCCGGGAACCGAAGGGTTTTGCTTTGCTTCTTTTTAACGTCTCCCCATACCCCACCCCACAGCCCTGGTGACCACCATTTGACACACTCTCTCCTTTTTGCTAGAAAGTGTATGCACTTGCTGGAGAGACAGAGAGAGCGAGAACCCTTCCGTCCCCTTAATCAGTGGTCACACCGCATGCCCCTTTCCATTTCTCCCTCCTCCTTTGAGATTTTGGGCGCACGCACATGCACAGATGCCGGGTCCAGGACTGGAACCACACCGTCTGCCATGGGGGATACAGCCACGTCCACCCCCACTGGCTGGCCTTTCCCTATGGGGTCAGTGTTTGGGTTTGGAATGTGTTGTTTTTACCTCTGGGCCTTTACTCCTGCTGGTCTCTGCTGGCTCTACCCTACCCTTCAATCCCTTCTTTCCATTGTCCTCATCCTGGGTACTCTCTTAAATTGACCAGAATTTCCTGAGTGATTGGAGTATCCTATTTCTCACAAGTGCCTTCCCTAACACCTGAGGTCATACTAATGAGGTAGTTTAGAAAGGGGCCCTAGGTAGCCTGGGGATGGGCCCATCACAGAAAGACCTATGGAGGATTAGAGGGCTGCAACTTTCCGCTCCATCCGCAAACCTATAGGAAAGGGTGGGGGAAATGAAGGCTTAACCAGCCTCTCTCTGGGTTGCTGAATTTTGGAGGTGCTGGGCAGCGACACCCCCAAAGAGTGTGGAAGCCCTGTGCCCCTCCCCCATGCCTTGCCCTCTGCTTCTCTTCCATCTGGCTGTTTTTCGGTTTGTTTTTAACAGAGATTTTTGCTGCAGGGTGTGTGCTTGCCAAAGAAACAGAGACAGAAAGCAAGAAGTCACCCCCCAGGTGGGATGGCCACACAGCAATTCTTTTTCCTCTGTTCTTTCACGATTTTGGGCACGCACACACACATGCCTGGTGTGAGTTTCAAGCTGCCGGGTCCGGAACTTGAACTGCAGACAGCCATGTGGGAGTCTAGCAACATAATCATTACTCCATCTACTGGTCCCTCATTTGGCTGTTCTTCTGTATCCTTCATAATTTCTTGTATAATAAACCAGTACATGTAAGTGTTTCCCTGAGTTTCCTGAGCAGTCCTAGCAAATTAGGGGATGTGTGTGGTGCCCGGGTGGAACCCAGTTTGCAGCCTGCTACTTGTGATTGGCATCCGAAGGAGAGGCAGTCTTGTGGGATTGAGCCTTTAACCTGTGGGATTCAATGCCATCTCCAGGTAGGGAGGGTCAGAATTGAACTGAATTATGAAACACCCAGGTGGTGTCTACTGCAGAGTTACTTGGCGTAGGGAGCAGACAGACCTGTGCATTCACTCCCAGGTCCTGTGTTCGGGATGAGAGTCGAGGTCAGACGTATTTTGGATTTTTTTCCTTTACATGAACCCAGCCACCTAAACACTCACCGAGCCGGTGCCTACCCCCACTCTGCTCACCAACATCCTTCAGACTGGCTTGCACCGAGGCGCATGTCTGTGACTGCTCCCCTAAGGGCATGTGTAGGCCTACTTCCTCCCTGCTCCTGTGTCAACAACTCAGTGCGAGTTCCAAGAAAGATCCAAAATTGTGGGTTTCTTGGTTCGAAGAAAAAGCTCTAATCTCAGTTCCGGAAAAGCAGGGTATCTCTCCAGCATGTCCTAAGAATCTTCCTAGTACTCTAGGTGGTTCTGAGCCCTGAGCTGTTCCCTCAGACACACAGCTGGAGGATCTGGGGTGGGCTGCAGGTTCTCCAGGGTGCCTCATGACAGGGCAGATTGCAACAGTGTCTCAGGCTCCTCAGTCTTTACAACAAGGTCCTCATTCAGCCAGAGCTGGGCCCCTGCCTCTCTATGAAATGTGGCCATAGGTTGGGAGAGAAGGTAGGGAGACAGCAGAGGGGGGGAGCTAGGCTGGGCAGACAGGTAAGAATTTTCACCTGGTGAGCTTAGGGTTGCCAGCTTTAGGATGTCCTGCCAAGATAAATGAAGCAGTCTTTATTTCTTCAAATCCAAGCGCAGCTGCCCTTTCACACAGAATCGCAGCCACTATTTGACTTCACAACTATGAATTTAACAAGTATCAACTCTGACACCTGCTATGAGCCAGGCTGCAAGTTAGGTAATCCCACATTCATCTTAACTTTAATCCTTTTTTTTTTAAAGGAATTATTTATTTCATTTTATTTATTATTTTTGTTATTATTATTCAATTGGGGCAGAGAGAGGGAGAGTAAGAAAGTTGCCAGGTCCAGGACTCGCACTGTGGTTGGTCATGTGGGAGTCTAGCATCTCGACCGACCACCACACGCCTGCCAGCCCCTTCACTTTAATTCTTTGGAGTAGGCGTTTTTCAGATAAGGAACCCAAGGCTGAGAGAGATGAATGATTTTGCCAAGTTTGCGCAGGTAATAAATGATTTTTGCTGGGACTTTAATTGAGAGCTGACTCTAAAGCCTATGATTTTTTTCTCTGCAGGATGTTGTCCCACCCTGGCAGATTCAAGCTTAGAAGAGACAGGGCGTCCCTGCCTGCCTGCCGAACTAAGGTATTGGCCTTCTGTGCTTAGACTCCAACTTGTACCACTGGCTGTCCTGTTTCCAGTTTGCAGGTGGCTGATCGAGGGACTTCTAAGCCTTCCTAACTGCAAGGCAATTTCTCCTAATA